GCTAAGCTATATGTGGAGGCCCTAACAGACCACAGAAGAGCCCAGGGAAACCCGAGAAGGGAAAATGACAGGCCACTGAGCCCAAGTACATTAGCTAGTGAAACTGAAGAAAGGAAAGCTGCAATGAGGAAATCAAATTGAATGAGGGGGTACACAGGGATATGCAGTGGGAAAAATGAAAGGGTGAGGTCAGTCTTTGTGTACGGGCTCCAGGAAGTTGAAGGGGAAACATATGAAGCAAAAAAACAAGGGGAAAAAAAGCAATTGAAAGCATCATTAAAGCAATAGGAGAAGACGACATGACCCAGCTGGAAAATTTTCGGAGAATAGGGGGGTTTGTAAAAAAAAAGACCCGGCCAGTGGAAAGTGACCTTCAAGGCAGAATCGACTCGGAACAGATCCTGCAGGAGAAAGCACGATTAAGGGACATGCTGGCATACAGGAAGGTGTATCTCGACCGCGACAGAACACAAGCAGAAAGGCAGAAACAGAGAGAGATGGTACAAAGGCGAAAGGAGGAAAGAGAGGGGATGGAGAAGACAGACAGGAGATCCCAGACACAGGAAGATCAAATACAGCCTCCCTCACAACTTCCTATAGAAGCCTCCCAACCAGGTCAACCCAGTGCAACCAAACACTCTAAACCAAAACACCCATGCCACATCCAATGCCCCCACCCACTGCATTACAAACTCCACCCCGACAGCAACCACCCATAGTTCCTTATCAGGTCTCCCACTTCCCCAACCCCAATACACCTCCCAGACCACAATCTTAGAAAAGAAGTTGAAGGTGTGGTATACAAATGCAGATGGAATAACAAATAAGTATGAGGAGTGGCACGAAAGAATTGAGGAGACATCCCCAGACATAATAGCACTTAGAAACAAAACTCACCAGAATAATAACAGATTCAATCTTTCCACCCGGATATCAAATCCTCAGGAAAGACAGAGGGAGGAGAGGGAGAGGAGGAGTTGCACTGCTCATTAAAAACCAGTGGGGGTTTGAGAAAATAGAAGGAATGGATGGCACGTGCGAAAGGGACTACTTAATAGGAACAATCCAGTCTGAGGGACATAAGGTGATAATTGCAGTAATGTACAACCCACCACAGAACTGCAGGAGGCCAAGAGAAGAATACGATGAGAGCAACAGAGCAATGGTCGACACACTAGCCGAGGTGGCCAAGAGAGCACACATGGGGGGAGCAAAGTTACTAGTTATGGGTGATTTCAATCACAAGGAGATTGACTGGGAAAACCTGGAGCCCCATGGGGGTCCCGAAACATGGAGAGCCAAGATGATGGATGTGGTACTGGAAAACCTCATGCATCAACATGTTAGAGACACTACCAGAGAGAGAGGAGAGGATGAACCAGCAAGACTGGACCTTGTATTCACCTTGAGTAGTTCTGACATCGAGGATATCATGTATGAAAGGCCCCTAGGAGCTAGTGATCATGTGGTTCTGTGCTTCGACTACATAGTTGAGCTCCAAGTGGAGAAAGCAGCAGGAATAGGGTGGGAAAAACCAAACTACAAAAGGGGGAACTACTCAGGCTTGAGGAACTTCTTTCAAGACATTCAGTGGGAGAGGGAACTGACAGGAAAACCAATACAAGAAATGGACTATGTGGCAACAAAATGCAAGGAGGCAGAGGAGAGGTTTGTTCCTAAGGGAAACAGAAATAATGGGAAGAACATAACGAGTCCTTGGTTCACCCAAAGGTGTAGGGAGGCAAAAACTAGGTGTACTAGAGAATGTAAAAGGTACAGAAGACAGAGAACTCAGGAAAATAAAGAGATTAGCCGAAGAGTCAGAAACGAATATGCACAGATAAGAAGGGAGGCTCAGCGGCAATACGAAAATGACATTGCATCGAAAGTCAAGACTGACCCGAAGCTGTTGTACAGTCACATCAGGAGGAAAACAACAGTCAAGGACCAGGTAACCAGACTGAGGAAGGGTGATGGGGAATTCACGAGAAATGACCGGGAGGTATGTCAGGAGCTCAACACAAGATTTAAAGAAGTATTTACAGTGGAAACCAGTAGGACTCCAGGAAATCAGAGCAGGGGGGTGCACCAGCAAGTGCTGGATGAGGTACATGTAACCAAGGAGGAGGTGAAGCTGCTATGCGAACTTGACACCTCAAAGGCAGTGGGACCAGACAACATCTCTCCGTGGGTCCTTAAAGTGGGAGTAGAGATATTGTGTGTACCGTTAACAAAGATCTTCAACACATTTGAAACTGGGCAACTCCCTGAGGTATCGAAGATGGCAAATGTAGTTCCCAATTTTTAAAAAGGGAGACAGACATGAGGCACTAAACTACAGACCTGTATCACTAACGTGTATAATATGCAAGGTCATGGAGAAGATCATCAGGAGGAGAGAGGTGGAGCACCTGGAAAGAAACAAGTGTATAATTGACAACCAGCATGGTTTCAGGGAGGGAAAATCCTGTGTCACAAACCTACTAGAGTTTTATAACAAGGTGACAGAAGTAAGACGAGAGAGAGAGGGGTGGATCGACTGCATTTTTTTGGACTGCAAGAAGGCCTTCGACACAGTTCCTCACGAAAGGTTACTGCAAAAGCTAGAGGATCAGGCACACATAACAGGAAAGGCACTGCAATGGATCAGAGAATACCTGACAGGGAGGCAACAACGAGTCATTGTACGTGACGAGGTGTCAGAGTGGGCGCCTGTGACAAGCGGGGTTCCACAGGGGTCAGTCCTAGGACCTGTGCTGTTCTTGGTATATGTGAATGACATAACGGAAGGGATAGACTCAGAAGTGTCCTTGTTTGCGGACGATGTGAAGTTAATGAGAAGAATCAAATCGGATGAGGATCAGGCAGGACTACAAAGAGACCTGGACAGGCTACAAGCCTGGTCCAGCAACTGGCTCCTTGAGTTTAACCCTGCCAAATGCAAAGTCATGAAGATTGGGGAAGGGCAAAGAAGACCGCAGACACAATATAGTTTAGACGGCCAAAGTCTGCAAACCTCACTCAAGGAAAAAGATCTGGGGCTGAGTATAACACCGAGCATATCTCCCGAGGCGCACATCAATCAGATAACTGCTGCAGCATACGGGTGCCTGGCAAACCTACGGATAGCTTTCCGATACCTCAGTAAGGATTCGTTCAAGACTCTGTATACCATTTACGTCAGGCCCATACTGGAGTATGCAGCACCAGTTTGGAATCCACACCTAGTCAAGCACGTCAAGAAATTAGAGAAAGTGCAAAGGTTTGCAACAAGACTAGTCCCAGAGCTACGGGGAATGTTCTACGAAGAAAGGTTGAGGGAAATCGGCCTGACGACACTGGAGGCAAGGAGGGTCAGGGGAGACATGATAACGACATATAAAATACTGCGCGGAATAGACGAGGTGGACAAAGACGATGTTCCAGAGATGGGACACAGACACAAGAGGTCACAATTGGAAGTTGAAGACTCAGATGAATCAAAGGGATGTTAGGAAGTATTTCTTCAGTCATAGAGTAGTCAAGCCGTGGAATAGCCTAGAAAGTGAAGTAGTGGAGGCGGGAACCATACATAGTTTTAAGGCGAGGTATGATAAAGCTCATGGAGCAGGGAGAGAGAGGACCTAGTAGCAATCAGTGAAGAGGCGGGGCCAGGAGCTATGAATCGACCCCTGCAACCACAAATAGGTGAGTACACACACACACACACACACACACACACACACACACGCACACACACACACGCACACACACACACGCACACACACACACGCGCACACACACGCACACACACGCACACATTGCTTTTCATTTTAATGATTCTATTCTGTTTTTCCAAAAGAAGTATCAATTCACTGACAAAAAATCTCCATCTAACCTCAGCGGAATGACGGACTGAAATTCGCCACACTACACCACAGAGGCGCGTACCACATGATCTACGCTACCACCGCCATATTTCACCTAGAAATCTCATGAAAATTCGAATCCTGGAACTTTTTGATAACACCTCGTGTATATGATAAAGTGTTCAACACCTCGTGTATATGATAAAGTGTTCAACACCTGTGTATATGATAAAGTGTTCAACGCTACGTCACTTACATGCTTTTCGTAGCCGTCTCACGATAATATGGCTTCCGTACTTGTTTGCAAATATGTACGATGAAAATGGAAATAATTTAAGTAATTTATGTAACTATCAGTTTTATTACACTGATATTTTATTTTTGTGCCAATCAGCGCAAAGTGAAGGCTCGATCCTCCGTTCGTTAGTATTAAGACAAGCTTTTCTCTCGCAGACTTCCTCGACAAAGTTCAATGTATCCTAAACTTGACACACATGCAACACTAATGCAGAATTTTTTGCAACTTGACACACATGCAACACTAATGCAGAATTTTTTGCAACTTGACACACATGCAACACTAATGCAGAATTTTTTGCAGCTAAATAAACATCTTGTTAAAAAAATTCTAAAATATTTCTGCAGTTTTTCAAATGACATTTGTTTCGTTTTTAATTTTTAAATTGATTATTCTTTTTCATTGATAGTAGTAAATTATTTAGTAAAGACGAATGTATTTTATCTTTCAAGGTTCAAGTTACTTGTAAAGTTCACTTATTATATAATCTTCTGAACCATTTCTGCAGTATTGTATGTCATTGATTATTTATTATTGATTTAATGAACTGATTTTCTTTAATCTGATGACGAATTAGACACTTGTGAAACATTTGGGAATCTTCGTTGAATATTATTATAATCAAAAAGTCTTCGTTGAATAAAAACGTTTCGCCAGCTAATGCTTCGTTAGTCCAGTACAGAGGAGACCGATGGACGATGAGGAGGAGGAGTTTGAGATAATCAGTTTCTCATTCTTTCAGTCTTGAGAAAAATGGATTGATGACTCCCAAATGCTGCACAAGTGTCTCATTCTTCAACTTGCCGGTTTTCAAAATCATTTACATCACTTTTTTAATCTTATGATCTCTTCAGGATTCTACTTCTCGCCCTGGTTGTCTGCGTCATCATTGTTATAGTGAAACAAGATTTACACAACAATGTTTCTTTCTTCATGGAACAAGATAGTTACTTCAGTCACAACTATCTGAGATTAAACTTCACACTTACCTTACTCTCTGTCACAACGACACTTCCACACCTGACAAACAACGAAGAAAAAACTACTAAAAAAATCCCTGAGAGATGCGAGTGTAAAAGTGGCAAGCATTGGGCAGACAATGTCTTAGTACAACAGCTGGACTTGACGTTACCTTGGCTCAACACCACAACAAAAGAACACTTGATTAAGCACCACCCGAACTTGCCTGTGAATTTCCTCCACAAGGCGAACAAGGAAGGCCGGTGCAGCCTATTACCTTTACTCAGCAGGTATGTAACTCTCAAGACTAGTTGGAAGAATTGAGACTCCTGTCTGTTTCCTTCACTCTTAGGCAATTTTATTGCCAGTATTTTTGAGTGTTGCCCGAACAATATTCGTAACACTTCTGATTTCATTACCTAGTGACTTTTACCCTCTTGATACGGGATTATCAAAAAGAAGCGCTAAACGATCTATGGTCTAACAGCAATGACTTTATGTGGGAGTGGCATAACATTCTTTGGATATTTGTGTCAGGTTAATGAATTCTTAAAATAAATTTCATACATTTGCGCTTCCAGTTAATTGTCCTTACGTGTTTGCAATAAAAATTGAGTGAACAAAATGGCATAGCTTTTTTGAACAGGAGACTCTATAGGGAGTGTCAAGAGCGAGATAAATTTCTGAAGGGTAAAAAACTACTGCAAATTAGAATCAAAAGATGTTTAAAGGAAAAATCAATAAAGTACAGCCACGTATGAGAGTAGGGAAGTAATGGAAAGAAAAATAATAGGTGGAGATAATCAGTAAGAAGACAGAAACGAATATAGTAGGACCACAGAACAGGCAGGATAACTGCCACTTAAACCTTCTAATCTCAAGAAAATGAACCTTGAGGTTCATAATAGAGCCTGAAAATATACCTTTTTCGAGGAGTTTTAAATTTATTGAATGTTAATGTTAAGATGTTTCCCGAAAGTGAATACACATCGTAGTTGTCAGAATATTTATAATCACCAAGATTTCTGCGCTATTACGTGAAAAGAAGTTTTCCAATCCTCTAACTTTTAGCCTTTGTGTATTTGACTTAACTGATGGTTCAAATTGTGAAGCAGTTTCATGTAATACCTTGACAGTACTTCTGATCGGCTTCAAACTTGTAACGCTGGTGAATCCTCATCAAAGGAAAATTCAAATTATTACTGAAGCAAATAGATATTATTTGTTCAATATATTTACAACCTGAATGCAGTGAACAATGCTCTGCGTTACACTGAAGTCAAACAATTCCAGGAAAATAAATATTCCCAAATAAGTGTCTCAATTATCAACTTGTTTTCGTAGACGATACTTTTAGACTGTTCTGGTGTAAATTTTTCAACTTTATGGCACAAAATATTGGATTATTGGTTCTTGTGCAATACCTAATGAATGTTTTGATCTGCTTCAAACTTTGACCGTCGGTATTCTGCTGAGAGGAAGGTTCACATTGTTATTTGACTATGTCCCAGTTTTCCAACCTTAATAAATAAAACGGAATATTAGTATCCGTGTGATAAGAATGTCTTTACTGATTAGCTTCAAACCTTCAATAAAGGTATATTTTAGTAAGATGTTTTTGACTTGTTTTCGTCTGTGTAGATGCTAATTTGTTCATCTAAAAAGCTGGATAAGATAAGATAAGATTTCGTTCGGATTTTTAACCCCGGAGGGTTAGCCACCCAGGATAACCCAAGAAAGTCAGTGCGTCATCGAGGACTGTCTAACTTATTTCCATTGGGGTCCTTAATCTTGTCCCCCAGGATGCGACCCACACCAGTCGACTAACACTCAGGTACCTATTTGCTGCTAGGTGAACAGGACAACAGGTGTAAGGAAACGTGTCGAAATGTTTCCACCCGCCGGGAATCGAACCCAGGCCCTCCGTGTGTGAAGCGGGAGCTTTAGCCACCAGGCCACCGGGCTGGAATATTGGTTTCCATATGATATTTTGTCTAATACCCCTTGTGCAACTTCAGACCTTCAAAGCTGTTGTATCCTGAGGAAAGTTTACAATGTTATTGCACTCTAAAGTAACTAAAATAATTATCTGATTGCTCAGAATCGAAGATAATTTAAAATATAATCAAGTAGTTATGTGTAACCGACTTCGGAATTGTCTGCATAAAATCAAGCAGAGGGAATTTTTATTTGTCAATTGAACCTAGTATTAGTTCACCAGGATTAAAAATTTAAACCCGATCAAATAAAGCGTTCTGTAGTTATAAATGAAAGCCTTGGGGATAACTGGTAAACAAGAACACTGTACGAAACAATGTGACATGTACGGTGTAAAATCGTACAGTATTTAAGAGTTCACTAAACTTGTGAAAAACGCTACAAAAATGTGAGTTTTTCACTATTTCTCTTTTTGTTTTCAATTACCTGGATACTCCAGGTGTCCAGATATAATCTATAACAAATTCTCAACAATCCTAAAAGAGAAAGTAATTGATTTTATATTTTTGTTTTTAGATACAGTAAATATTTCTTATAAAAATTGACAGACTGGCACCAATACACAAAAAATAGCAAAAAAAAATCTATTAAGATAGAGTGGCAATGGTTTGAAGCCGACCAGAAGAGTAATGCTTTAGTTATTACAGAGAAACCAATTTAATAAAAATTGGCAAATTAAAATTTACACAGCTTAAAGTAAAAACCAAGCTTTAATAATTATGAAAAAAAATAGGAATAGAGAAACACTACAGCAGTCCTACTGGCCCATACTAGGCATGTCCTTCTCAAATCAAGCGCATTAGTTGAAAGTTTGAAGCCTATTAGAAAAAATATTGTACAGGAATTGTTCTTATACCAAAGATTCCCGATTATTGAACAATTTCATTAAATTCTAAAATATGCACATAAACAATCTAAACTTATTGGGTTTTATTCTTCTTATAGAAAACATCAGCATTAACAATTTGAAGCCGATAAGACGAGTCATTATTTAGCCACTGAATATAACTTATCACTACTTAATAAAACTGGCAAATTGAGTTAGCTAAGTTTCCTCAGGAAACAGGACAAGTTTCCTGACGCGGGTTTTAGTCCTATGATTACCTGCCACTGAAGCTTTTGGTCATCTGACCGAGGCCTTGCACTGGCTTACTGGTCCATCCCTTTAAAAATTAAGGTTATAATAACCACCAATGCTACTTATGACAGGAAGTTCTTACAATTAGTGTGAGCGGGTCTTACAGTTTAAGTTTCACAAACCGCCTTAATGGTTTAGGAGATGCTAGGTATATGCTGCTAAGCTTAACAAATTCCTAGCAAAGCGATTGTGAAGTTGCGTCGTGCACTTCTAAAAATTATTATTATTATTAAGCGTAGATTGTTTCCTTCAGTTGTCGACTGAGTGATCCCTGGAGAGCGCCTTATTACTACGCATTGTTGTTCCTTCATGGTGGCTAATACTGGTGTTTTCTCTCTCCTCTTCAGCATTCAGTGGGTGAACATACACTGGCAGAAGGTGACATTAAACAACACAGATATTTTGCTCTACTCAGCCATTTACGACCCGTTACCAGGTGAGTTAAAGTACCTCACAGGTCATTTTAGGTGATACAATACATAATGTCAGCTACTGTCTGCTATCAAAGATAAATTATTATTATAATTAAGGGGGAAGCGCTAAACCCGGAGGATTATACAGCGCCTGGGGGGGGATGTGGAAGGCGTTCAGGCTTAATTCGGGGAACTGGAGCACAGATCCAATTCCCTAAATCAAGAGCCCCTCACCAACATCAAGGAACCTTCCTTGAGGGGTATCAAAGATAAAATGATAGTCCAAACCAGCCCGTGAGTTCACCAAAGGTTAGAGGCCAACTCCCTGACCGGTACCTGGATATACTGTGGTTTATGTCCCTGACCGGTACCTGGATATACTGTGGTTTATGTATGTTGACACACATCATTTGAAGATGTGTAAGCATATGGAAGCACTCAGATGTTTTTATTTTCAAAATATATTTTAGATAAGTTTACAATAATTCAATAATAAACAAACACAATGAAATATATTTTTTCGTTAGGTTCAGAATTATTTTTTTTTTGCAAAATTACTGCATACACAAATTTTTTCTTGCCTTATTCAGCAAGGAGCGCATTGCTATTTAAGCCCAAATCGCAATTTTTAGCTATTCGGCACGACATATATATATATATATATATATATATATATATATATATATATATATATATATATATATATATATATATATATATATATATATGCAAAACAACCACTCTGAAAGAATAAAGAAATTCCAAGCGCTTTCGTGACTACTCACATTATCAAGGAACTATGAAAGTGAAGAATCCAAGGAAGCTATATAAGGGGTCGGCCAGCACCTCACTATTCTTTCAGAGTGGTTGTTTTGCATATTTTGAAATCACCTGTTTACTGTGATCTTATTGCATATATATATTATATATATATATATATATATATATATATATATATATATATATATATATATATATATATATATAATATATATATATATATATGTGTGTGCAAGGAATTCGCAAGAGCAGGCGAAATATACACAAACACTGATCTCTGGCTGAAGGAGACTCGAACCTACGAACCTTGGAACAAGGTACGCAGCGCATTACCATTCTCACCACACTGGACCAATACCATGGCGTCCAGCCTTCTCCCTGAAAGCTGGCTGCCTTGGATCAACGTCTAGCACAAACTGGACGCCAAGGTATTGGTCCAGTGTGGTGAGAATGGTAATGCACTGCGTTCCTTGTTCCAAGGTTCGTAGGTTCGAGTCTCCTTCAGCCAGAGATCAGTGTTTGTGTATATTTCGCCTGCTCTTGCGAATTCCTTGCACATTATATATATATATATATATATATATATATATATATATATATATATATATATATATAATATATATATATATATATATATATATATATATATATATATATATATATATATATATATATATATATATATATATAGGGAGGTACCGCTAGAACTTTACTGGGAACCCTCATCCTCAGAGAAGATAATAAACGTACCTCAGGAAAACTCAAGGTTCTCCCCGGATTATCAGGGACAAAAGAACGTCAAGTGAAAGTAATTTGATGTTTAGTACTAGAAAATTTAAACCCATGAGCAGTGGCCCAGCTGGAAACATGGTTGACCGCATGCTGGAGAGAAACTGCAATGAGGCGACAGTGAGTGCCTGCACAAGCTATAGCAATGTCATCAACATAGAATGATGACCAAATATTAGATGGAAGAATAGATGCCGGATCATTTATGGCAAGGAGAAAAACTGTGGGCTCAGGACACATCTCTGGGGGACACCTTCAGCTTGGATAAAGTTCAGGGAAAGCATATTTTTGACCCGAAAATGGACATGTCTCTCAGATGAAAAGTTCCTAAGGAAAAATGGTAGATTGCCTCGGAGGCTTGAGGAGTGAGCTTGGTCCAAGTCGTGGCATATGCCTTCTCAAGTTCAAAAAGCAGATGGCGATAACTGAGGGGTTATTGGCAAAGACATTACGAACATACGTATCTAATAGAGCAAGGGGTCAATAGTAGAGTGGCCATATTGATTAGTGATTAGAAAGCCATATTGATTAGTGAAGAGACTATTGTGTCTAAATACCACATCAAACGTCTATTTACCAGGCGTTCTATCACCTTGCAAACTGCACCGGTAAGAGCAATAGGACCATAATGGGAGGCATCATGTCCTGAAGTATATGGAGTACGAAAAGGTTGAACGCTGGCAGATTTCCACGGCTGGGGAAGAACTCCTTGCAACCAAATAATATTAAGTAGTCATAAGAGAACAACAAGGGCTGACAGATGTAAATGATGGAGCATATGAATATGAATGCCGTCAGGCCCACCTGCCGATGATCGGCAAGTGGAGGATATTGACTAGTTCCAGAAGTGTAAAAGGCACATTATAAGACTCTTCTCTGCTAGAAGAAAAGGCTAAGGGCTCCAACTCTCTGACAGACGTGGAGGAAAGAAACGAGGGGCATAGGTGGAGCCCCTGGGAGAAACGGACAAGATGATTACCAATTTCGGTGGCAACGTCAAGAGGGTTTGCTATAGCGACACCAGCAACCCGAAGAACGGTAGCCGGGTCTGGAAAGTATTTGCTACTCAGTTTCCATACTTTTTCCAGACTGCACTCATAATGTTAGCCAAAGTGATGGTAGAAACATAATCCTGCCAACAAGTGCGTTTAGTTTCACGGATGACACATTGGGCAACCCTCTCGTCCGCTTAAAACCAAGGAGTCGCTCTGTAGTCCTATTGTAACGATATCAGCTCTATGCAGCGCATTTCAAACATAGCGCACCAGCACAAGCAGGAGACAACCAAGGCACACACTTCCGAGAATGTCTGCCCGAGGTTTGGGGAATAGAAAGTGAAGCAACAGTTAAAACTGAGGTCGAAAATAGGTGTAACAGCTCATCAATGGAGGACGAAGGAGGATCCTCACTAAAAGCAGTTTGACGAGAGTACAGGTTCCAATTCGCTATGTCAAATTGCCAGTGTGGGCTTAGAGGAGGCGGAGAATACTAATGCGAAGTAAAGATGATTGGAAAATGATCTCTGTCATGTAAGTCTGGGAGTACAGACCAGGTAAAGTCCAGTGCAGTTGATGAAGAGCAAATTAAGAGATCGATACAAGCGAGAGATATGGGTGGGAGTACCCGTATTTAAAATACAGAGAGGGAGAGAAGTGAGAAGTCTCTCTGAGTGCTGCGAGACTCACAGTGAGACCTCCCTCCTCCCAGAGGATATGGTGAGCATTAAAATCGCCGATTAGCAGAAGTGGTGGCGGTAATGAAGAAACCAGAAATGCAACATCTGGGATAGATAATGCCCGAGAAGGAAAGAAATACAAAGAACAGACTGTATACCACTTATTCAAATAGATGCGTGCTGCAGTATAATGTAGAGAAGAATGAACAAAGAGCTGATCGTATGATACTCCAGTGCGTATAAAAAGTGCACTTTCATTAAAGGTTCCATCGAGAAAGGATCCAATGAGTATAATAAAACACAGCCCAAGACAGGATAGATAACAGCGGAGCATAATTTGGGTTACCGCTAAGGCCTATGATATTCCACTGTAAATAAGCGATGATTTGCAAAGAGAAGGGTACAAGAAATATGAAGTAATAGGTATCTACGGACTAAAAGGTTTAGAAAAATCTGCATGTAGAGGCAGCGGAAAACGAATAAGCAGCAAAAGATTGGAACGCTGAAGAAAGGAGTTGTGCAGATGGAGGAGAAGAATGAAGAGTAGCGACGGGAGGTGGATCAGTGTCCATCAGTGGTTTAGTCACCTCAGAATATTCGGAGATAGCTTGAAGTGTTTCAAAGTACAAGGACGTTGTATGTGGAGCAAAATTGGAGAATGAAGGAGGGTAAGTAAAGATGAGGACGATGATGGATGATACCAAAGTAAGGGGGGGGGGACGAAAGGTTAGAGTTAACTTGGGAGTGGAGAGGAGAGGAAGCAACCTGGGAGGGGAGAGGAAGAAACTTGAGAAAGGACAGGATAGGAAGGTACTGTATGAGGGAGAGAGGATGAGCCTCCACAGTCGCAACAGAGCTAGTAAGAGGTAAAGAATCAGGTAGAGAGACTGGAAAGGAAAAAAATATCTGGGTAGGATAAGTGAAGGAGGGATTAAAGGAGATTTATATAATGGGTTTTTTGAACTTTGGAGAAGTAGAGAGGCGAAGGGGAGGAGTTGTTGTGTGAGGTCTTGTAGACACAAACTTGTGAGCAAGAATGCGAAGAGTTGAGAACAGTACGAGAAGACGGGGTAGGGACCTCGGAGTCCAAGACTACAAAGGAGTTGGATACAGAGGTGACTGTAGGTGTGGCCACAGTGGAGAGACATCGGAAGCTGGGACCCCAAAGGCTGGGGGCCTCTTAGTAACTCGAGAACAGGAAATACTGGGATGTTTTCCCTGGAAGCGTAGATGAGAGACTGCCGTGGTATAAGGAAAGCCTTCTGTCTTTTTGAGACAACGGACTTCTCGTTCATATAAGTAAACGTGGCAGCGGCAAGGGTGTAAGATGGGTGAGCTTCATTACAATTAAGGCAAGAGGAAGGTAGACTACAGGATGTACTGGTATGGTCACTGGCACCACAGACTGGGCATTCTGCCATGGACCTGCAATATTTCTCTTGATACCCAAAATGCCAGCAATTTCTACACTGTTGTGGTGTAGGGAACACTTTTCGGACTTGTAAACGTGTCCTACGATATAAACCGAGGACGGAAGCTCATGGCAGTGAAAAGTTAAGCCAGCTACTTTGCAAGGGTTACGTCTCTGCCTGTGGGCAGGTAGGACATGCGTGTCTGCCTTGAGAATTCGGAGGTTTTGGAGCTCAAGCTGTTCGAGAATGTCGCCACCACACATGTCTAGAAATTACGCCGGAACAATGATACGAGGTAGAATGATAGTACCACCACAAAAATTGAGAGAATGTTGTGTTAAATTGTTACAGGAATAGCGTCTATGGT